TCAACGGCCCACTAAACACATTAGAGAAGAAGAAATTAATAGAAGTCATTGAATTAAGATGCTTTGACGCTCAGATTGGGTCCCGCTGTGTGACAGGGTAGTGCCCGTTGTCGTGCATGCATATGCGGTAGACCGTCTTATCGATAACATACCTCCGCAGCCTCATTTCCAATGACCACCGTTCGACTTTGTCTCCGCGCCATTCATCCCAACGCGGACAAGCAACTCTCCACCTAATTAACTTTGGACATCCGGAATCGCGCAGATCCTAGAAATCCTCAAAATGTCAGAGAAACCCACACCCTCGAAAGCGAATGAATGGTCGGGTGACAAAGCCACCAAGTTTGACAAGTACGCCACCCTGTTGATCGAGCTGCAGTCACATTGCGGGGAAGAAGAACAAGCAGCTGATATATCCTTATAACAGCAAAGCATTCAGCGAGTACTACGATCCATGTCAGGAGGCGGCGGATAGAAGCATACGGTGTTTGAAGAGGAATGGTGGAGAGAGGGCTATGTGCTCGGACTTTTTCCAGTGAGTAGGAATATTCTATAAATGAAAAACGAGAGACCCTGGGGCTTCAGCCACAGCTGTAGCAATTGCAATTGATGGGAAGTGAGGCTGACGCATATATGGACAGAGCATATCGGGATTGCAAGGAGCAGTGGGTACGTTACCTCCGCCGACTGCGCACCGAATACACTCCTGCGACCGTCCCTCCATAATTTATCTCGACATCGAGAAATAGTTGCTAATATTTCTATAGCAAGCTGCAAGGAAAGAAGCTAGGAAGAACAAGTCATGGTTTGGGTGAATTGAGGACACCGGAAGTTCGAATGTGAACAGCTGTACAACATCTCCTCTCCGCATAAGCACGGCGTTTGGGCACGGTATTTCGATGGTAAAAATGAGTGGTTATAGTCCCTAGCTTGGTTAGCTAGTACGTATATCTAAAACTGATAGCTCAATGGTCTGCAAGACAGCCAGACGCTACCAGTCTGCACTAGTCAACAGAGAAGGGCAAACTAGCCGTCAATGTATACTAAAAATGGATTTTTTGTGATTGCAAATACAGGTTGAAAACTACTCCGCCCATCCGGGAGATGTGTCCATCAAGCACATGGCACCGAGGTAGCCGCTGCACCTTGATGAGGTCAGCTATCTAGGATCTCTCTACTTGGTCACGATCACGCCATCATCCGTACATGCAGCTTATCCACCTGAAGCCCTCGAAAAGGCAAAGACGTGCCCGATCAATTGGTCAAACTTGTCGTACTTGCCCTTGCATGATGCACGAGGCTGTGCACTGACGATCTCTCTACCCCACCCCACCACCCCACTAAAGCTACCCCTCCACTGTACCCTCTCTGCTCACTCCTACTAACCATCTTTCCTTCACTTCTCTTCTCGCTCCACTTATGAGATCTGTTTTCAACGCTTCTTCCCTTAACCGTCTCACCACTCGAGCTTTCACATCAACCACACGCGCAATGGGTGTCCAGAAGACCATCATCCAAGAGGGCAACGGCCCCTCCCCTAAGAAGGGCGACACCGTTACCATGGAGTACACCGGCTGGCTGAAGGACGCCAGCTCCGACAAGGGCAAACAATTTGACAGCACAAAAGACCGCGGTCCATTCCAGACCCAGATCGGTGTCGGCCGTGTTATCAAAGGCTGGGATGAGGGTGTTGTGCAAATGAAGCTTGGCGAGAAGGCCAGGTTGGACATCACCAGCGACTTTGCTTACGGAAACCAGTGAGAGCTCTCTATGTGACAAACCGTACACCCGCAGATGCTGACGTATATACAGGGAATTCCCTGGTCTGATCCCTCCCAACTCTGACCTTATCTTGTAAGTCATTGCTCTTATACGCATGTACTTGGCGCACGATATTAATTTCTTTACAGTGAGGTCGAGCTTAAGAAGATCAACTAAGTCGTGGATAAAGGATGATGATGGGAGACGAACGTGGCAGTTGTATTCAGGCTGCAAGGAGATGGCCTATGGAGGAGTGGAAGCTTTGCTGTAATTGAGGATCAAATCCTAAGTAGCAGGTTCGCTGCCGTGGCATCGTGACCCCATAGTCTTTTCCTCTCTCTCCCTCTCTCTCTCCCTCTCTCTCTACAATCAATCACCCTCCTCTTCAACGAACAAGTCATTACTTTGTCCCATATGTCATCCCATGCATAGCTGTTTCCAATATCTTCAAACATGCTTCTCTTTGAAGGCTTAATCTCTTCAATGGGCTTTTTGATTTGTTTAATGGTCTATTCACCTGAATACCGTATAGGTATTACGCGAGTTGGTAAGGATTGAATGCTTGTTTTGCCTATCCTTGCGAGTCTGCAGTAGCTACCAAGAGGCAAGAGCGCTGGCTACAATACGCAAACAGAAGAGAGTGGGATATGCCATGATGAAACATACGCCTTATTATAGCTGATTGGTGCTTGTCCAAAGGGGTGCAGGTTTGAAGTAGAGCGAAGAGGGGCTGGCGACTAGTAGGGACCCGCGATCCTAGCGCGAACAGCTCTGGATGTTGCCTCAGAACAAGCGCCGTTGTGCGAATGGTCATACTCGAGATGAAGTCTTACTACCTCACATCAGTTACTATCGTGGCGCAATCCCATAACTTCCATGTCTAGATTCGGCAAACGCACATCATACACACTCCAACCCCGCTCCAGTGCAAGCCCCACCACAAGACACCGGGCAATGCATGCACATGCAGTGACATCACGACTAATGAGACGAAAGCTGCTTTATGCGGCGCTTAGAGCTACATGGGAAGGGCCGATGGCACAACTGGCTTTCCGCTTAATCTAAATGATCTAGTATGCTCTTATTACCTCGAAGCTTCTGCGCTTCACGCACTGCCTTCCGTAACACCAGTAATTGCCCATAAGTCACAGCATTGTTGAAGCATTCCTCTACCTTTGCTACCCCGCTATCCACCATGTCGGCCAGCACACTCGATATCAATTCGACTTTCGACCTGCCGAATTCGCAGTACAAGATTCCGAAAATCGGTTTTGGTGTCTACCTGTCACCCAAGGATGTATGCGTCAAGTCTTGCAAGAAAGCCTTTGAGGCAGGCTACCGACACATCGACACGGCGCAGTACTACGCCAACGAAGAGCAGGTTGGACAGGCATTGGCTGAAAGTGGGCTTCCTCGCGAGAACGTTTACATCACGTCCAAAATCATGAGTCCTGAAGAGGATGTCGAGTCAACATACAAAAAGGTTGTCGAAAGCGTTGAGAAGCTTGCTGGGAAAGATGGCTATGCGGATCTTTTCCTCATCCACACCCCGACCGGAGGCAAAGAGGCAAGGAAGACAATGTGGCTGGCACTGAAGAAGGCCAAAGAGGCAGGAAAAGTACGAGACATTGGTGTCAGCAACTACGGCATTGGGCACATTGAAGAGATTGCAACCATTGACAGCAAGGATGCTCTCCCTGCTGTAAACCAAATCGAGGTTTGTCTTGACCCCCCCCCTCCCCCTCCCCGCATTCAACTTACCCACATACCTAAACAATTCCACCAGCTCCACCCTTGGTGCCAGCAGCGCGAAGTCGTCGACTACTGCAAAAAACACAACGTCGTAGTCGAAGCCTACTGCCCCATTGTCCGCAACGAAAAGGCAAACGACCCGACACTCGCCGCCATCGCCAAGAAACACAACAAGGAACCCAACCAAATTCTTATCCGATGGAGTCTGCAAAAGGGATTCGTCCCGCTGCCCAAGAGTGACACTCCTTCGAGGATTGTCGGTAACGCTGATATATACGACTTTGAGCTCGACAAGGAGGACTTGGCTACGCTGGATGGCTTGGATCAAGGTGCAAAGGGCGCAATTGTCCATGCTGTCGACAATTCCTAGAATAGAAACAAACTCTGCACAGAATCAAGCCAAATTTGAAGCTCCATTAACGCTCCGAGAGATGATAAGCTTGGTCTTTCTGAAAAAAAAGCTAGCTTTTAGAACGGGGAATTTCACCACCATCATCACCACTACTATGAGAAGAAATTGCCTCCAACTACGATACATCTTGAAATAAAAAGAATATGATGGGAAAGAACTTACGGACCAAGTTCGGTCGGACAGACAGGGGGGCTTTGAAAGCAAAACGCGCGTCTGTTCTCGCAACGTAGCCCCCCCTCTCCCACCCCTCTCCCTCCACCAGCCCACTTTATGTATTCTATCCACACTCCCAACCACTTCGATCAGCATGACGACTTTTTTTGTTTTGTTTTGGCTTTGGGGTTTGAACATGATTAGGGGGTTTGCTAGGTTGTCTCACGTCACACCCTAATGTACACGGCACATGTTCATTATCGATTTTTTTTTCCTGCTCCGCTACTGTTATTTGATAGTACGATATAAATTGAGTGATTTTGCAAAATGCCATCGGTTTTGTAGTGTAGCGGTTATCACTCCGGATTCTGATTCAGGCGTCAGAGTCTTCCGGCAACCCCGGTTCGATTCCGGGCAAGACCTCACCGTCTTATCCTTTTTTCTCTTTTTTTTTTGAATGCTTTTCTTGTTGCCCTTTTTTTGGGACTATCCTATCATAACGCTTATCGTGCATCGGGGAGCGGTGAAGGGTACGGTTCTTTTTATGAGATTGAAATTTTTTTTGTTGTAGCGTTTTTGCCGTTGTAATACGGCTTCATATGGTAGAGTTACGGATTACTATATAGGACCCCTATATCTAAGTGAAAGCGTACTTAAGAAGAGGGAGGGATGAAAAAAAAGGGAGGTTCGCAAGGCTGCGCAAGTGCCCGAATGGAGAGGACGACATGCCGCCTGGTACCACAGAGGAGCACCGCAAAACACAAGAAAGGAAATAGAAGTAGGGGTGTAAGTAAGGATGTAAATGTAAGGCGCCATGTCGCTAAACGCTTGGGATAAAAAAAGGAGATGTCGGCTGTGCCAAAAGAAAAGACAGCTCTGGAAAAAAAAAAGGGGAAAATGCGTCCGGGGTATTACACATCTATCAACAAAAGAACTTGTAGACCTTCTTCCACCTGGGCCACTTCTTCTTTTCTTCCCGCTCTTCCTCGATCAAAGCCTGTATGTTGAGTTCCCTGATTCCCGTTACGAGATCCATATTGTGCGAGCGAACGACCGAAGTGCGGAACCAGAACTTGTAGGGGAAGTAAAAAGCTAATGTGACGGGGAGGGCGAGGTAGACGCTGAAGAAGCGTTGGAGGCGCTGGGAGGTAGACAGAACAGCCATGTCGATTGGAGCGACGGAAATGTAGAACTGGGCGACGAGGACGAGGATGTTGAGGCCGAAGCCGATGTAGGAGCCGATGAGGCCCGGCTGCGAGCGGAAGGCGAGTTCGCTAAGGCTGTGGCCTTGGACTTTCCAGCCCTGGCGGAAGCGGATGTGGGCGAGGCAGATGGAGGCCCAGGTGAAGACGGCGGAGAGGGCGGAGAGGGCGAGGAGCCAGTTGAAGGCTGCATCTTGGAGGCGGCGTTCTGCTCCGGCGAGGAAGGCGAGGAGGCCGAGGGAAGACGCGAAGGCAATGGAAACGAGAGGGCGACCTTGGCGATCGATGTACGCGAAGATTCTGGGGGCTTGGTTCTGTTCGGCCAGCGCTGCGAGTGTGCGTGAGGAACCGTAGATGGACGAGTTGCCGACGGAAAGGACGGCAATCATGATGACGGCGTTGAAGACAGAGGGCAAGCCTTCGATACCGGCATTCTGGATGGCAATGACAAAGGGAGAGGCTACGGCATCGACATTGTTCTTGTCCTGGAGGAGGCGTTCGTTGTTGTATGGCACGAGCAGACCGACGACAGTGAGCGAGACAATGTAGAAGAGGGAGATTCGCCAAAAGACTTGCTTGACGGCCGTGGGGAGCGACTTGCGTGGATTGGCGGTTTCAGCAGCAGCAAGACCGACGAGCTCCGTACCGGAAAAGGCGAAGGCGGCGTTGACGAAGACGCTGCAGAGACCTTTGAAGCCGTTGTTGAAGGGTCCTGGGTCGCGCCAGTACTTTCCTCCAATGTAACCGCCGTCTGGACCGCCGCCAATGTTGATGATGATTCCAAGGATGATGAAGCCAATGACTGCGGTGATTTTGACGATAGCAAAGACGAACTCGGCCTCTCCATATCCCTTGATACCGAACAGATTGATGACGACAATCAGGACCAAGAAGATGGCGACCCATGCGTTGTTGTTGACTGCGCCGCCGTTCCAATACTCAATGGTGAAGGTGGCAGCGACAATCTCGAGCGGGAGCACAACAAGCCATTGCAGAGCGTAGTTCCAACCCATGGCAAAGCCCCAAGCGGGATCCAGGAAGCGTGTCGAGTATGCGGAGAAGGAACCAGCAACCGGAAAGAGGACGGCCATTTCGCCCAGTGCGTGGACTGTGGTGTAGAGCATGACACCGACGAGACAGTAGCATATGACGAGCGATGCTGGACCACCATTTGCTAGTGCCTGACCAGAGCCGACAAACAGACCGGTACCTTTTTTTTGGCAAGTTTGTGATCAGCCGAGGGACGAGGTGGTGGTTGAGTGGGAGAAGAAGGCATGCTTACCAATGGAACCTCCAATGGCTATCATCTGCAAGTGGCGACCCTTGAGCCTCCGAGCAAGTGGCGAGTTTGCAGTATTAGTTGCAGCAGCCTCTGGATCAAACATGTTGCTATCAGCGCCGACGGTTGTCTTTGGCGTCATGGTCATGGCGAAGTTGGGGTCCCGCTTGAAGCTGTCGAGCATGCGGCGGCCGAGGCCTTGATTGTAGCGAGAGGACTCGCCATAGTAGTCGGATCCCTGCGAGGCTCTCCCAAAGCTCTTTTCAGTCCCGTACATGTCGTCGTCCATGGTCATCGGGGTCGGGGCAAGGCAGCAGGGCGCCGGGCAGGACGGCACAGGGCAGCCAGACACACGCGACACGAGACAGAACAGGCAGCGCAAAAGAGGGACGGGTGCGAGGCTTCTTTCTGCACGGTGGTCGGTGTTGCTGCAAGTTGCGGAGACTGAGATGGACTGATTGCTTTTTTGCCCCAGGCGAGCGGGCGCAGGGACCGGGTTATTACTTATGAGGGCAGGCAGGCAGGCAGGCAGGCAGTGGTGCTGACGGGCGAGGCAGTTCTGAGCGTACCGGTCACTAACTGGATATGTCGGTAGGAGTGTACATGGCACACTAGACATGTCAGTCCGGGGCCAAGGGTCAAGGATGGTCGAGGCAGGCCCGGACTGCTGGGAAGGGCTGGATATGGATTGACCAGGTGGGAGTACTTACTTAGTTACCTAGTGGGGGGCCATGTCCATTCATGCAGGTGGGCCGGGGGTAGGGCAATTCACATCACTGCGCATCGCCGTCTGTTGGTTGGTACTGTGTGCATGGTGGTGGTGGTGGTGGTGGTAAGCATCCATGTGTGTACAGTAGTATACACTACACATAGCATCTCCCATCCAACCCCGTATCCTCTGTCTCTTCTCCTTGACATGCCTCGTCCGTCTCTCGATGCTGCAGCCATCAGCCATGTGCCAGCTGTTTAGCCTTGGGCGAGGCCAGCCGTGCTTGGCCTCGTCGCCTCCCACTAACCTCCAGCCGTTCGAGCGGATGGCGCCAGAAACAGCCAATCTCGGTCCCCTAGCTGGATTCTCTCATTGCTCCAGATTTGCGTTTGCGGCTCGCGTGGCCGCCGGCGCTACCAGACGGCCTCGGTGTCTGTCTGTGCCGGTGTCCATGGCACCGGTCGCCCTTATCGCCATGTGCTCGTGGGACGGTCGAGTCACGGCTGGGAGGTGGCTTGCGGTTTGCGGCTTGCGGCTTGCCCCTCACCTCCCGTGCCTCGCAACCAACACCCGCCCCAACTGATACGGATAGCCACAACCTGTCGCAAGACTGCATCCATCCAGCTTTCCAGAACCCGTCCTACCCGGCCCACGATGCAATGGATGCATGCGCATGCTCCTGCTCCTTTGCAGCGCGTCGTGGTGGGACGGCTAAAATCACATTGCGTCTTACGCACTCGGCCGTGGCCCTTGACACCCGCCATCACATGCAGGTACGGTCCACAATTCGTCGGTAGCTGCTTCATCCCTCTCCCGCTTCATAAAACCATCCTCGGGCTGTCTGCCTCCAACACCACGCCACAATAAAACGTGCTTCGCCTTACCGGTCCATACACGCTCCCAATGCGCCCGACAACGGCCCGTTTCCCACAAGCACCGCCCTCTTCCTCCTCCATGCCAGCCCCGCGCAACTTTGTACCGGAATCAAACATACCACACACACACACACACACACACACACACACACTCCCACAAGGCCAACCGTGATTTCCATCCTTTGGCCCCCCCTCCCCTTCCCATTTTCTCTCTTATCAAGCCCGAGCACTAACCGTCTCACCATGCATCACGGGCCTAGCCACCTTCTCCTTCGTCGCTGCCATTTCGCTTACAGAAACAAGAACACGAGAGAGACAGATGTCAGTCTTGCCATTGCTATCGCAATGCCCGGGTATGGGACGTTGTTCGGCAGATGGCATGAATCAGACGCCAACCACGTTAGGCATGCCTTCCCAGGCCGGTTAGGTCAGTGGCACGCCCAATTGATAAGGCCAGCCCTCCATGCATTTCCACATCGTAACCTCTCTACTGCATCCCGGCCCAAATGGCTAATCCCATTACGTCCCCTCTTGCAAACCCGGACAAAAAACCAATTTCATGCACATGTGAGAAACTTCGTGTATACGTACTTGCTCGTGTTCCCCCACCTCCCCTGAATAAGTTCGTCCCGACAATGATCGACAGATTACCCATCCCCATAACCCTGCCCTTTTTTTTATGTAAACTCCGCAGCCCGCAGGCAAAAAATAAATACCGCCCCCAGAAATCATGGTGCTTATGCACTGCAACCCGTTGGCACATTGCAGGTTCAAGTCGCCGTTCTTCTGACGCAAGTGGCGAGATCGCCGGCTCACCCACTACTCACTCATCTCCTGTAATCTGTATGATGCCATCCATCCCATTGCCCAATACGCGTCTCGTCCGACTCATTAAACTCTACCTCTTTGCTAGCCAAAACATGTGAACACGAATGGACAAAAATAAACATACACGCGCACATGCATACATACATACATACATACATAATCCCATATTATTGATCTCCAAGATATATTCGATCCTCACCCTCCTCCTCCAACCACCCCCATGGTTCTCTTCCATCGATCCTTTCCCGACAAAAAAAAAAGAACGTCCCTGCACAATATGTGTCCCAGGATCCCAGGAAGGAGCGACACACACAGAAAGAGAATACGGAGAACCCCTCCCCCCTCCCCCCC